CGTGTCTTGAAATGTACAGAAATGTCCTGCATTGTGGCTTCAAATGTACAGGAATGTCGTGCAATGTGTCCTAATAGTTCCTCCAATGTCCAATGTATTTTACATGCGTTGTATGCATGGATCAATATCGAACATGACACATTACGACAACCTTCACTATAAACACAGTTCAATGAAGTTGAACACTGAACCTTCACAGCATTACACTGTTAAATGCATATTGTATGGCAGATACAAGATTGCAAACTTGTTGATAGCAGATTGGCGATGAAATTGATGTTTTTAACAACGTTCGTGTGCATGTATCATAAAATGAAAAAACGTCTTTATACAAAATGTAATGAAATTGGATCTAGTTATACAAGAATGAGAGTTATATTGTACACCTTGTCGCTAAATTGATTTGTGTTGAACATTGAATTAATGGTATTGCAAAATCAAAACAGTCATAACAATCGTATTCTCTAGAACATATCTAACAATTGTATTCTCTAGAGAATGTCTAACCGAAGATAAAAACGCTAGGATGTTTTCGCTGACAATTACTCCCTAAGCTTACCCGTGGTAATGTTAATTTTCAGTGGGTTAACCTCATTCTGAGACACCACGTGACATCTAAGATAATATCTTCCCGGAAAGATTGAAGTGATAAATGTAAATACGTTTCTTACTCAATCGACAAGAATCTTCTTCAAATAACGGGCGTAAATACATTAGGATAGCAATCTCACAGGAAGTAATGGAACTATGTGATTAATGTCTCACTTGTTATCAGACGTACGATCTTGATTGGTCGTGTTGTTGATGTCACTCATCTCCCATAGCAACAACATCGTCATTGGATAAACACATTACAGCTTTCTCTGTAGAATAGTTGATCCCATGATGCAATATGAAATGAATATTTGAGTCATTGTTTATACTATCGTTTATTTTTATTGCCAGTAATTCTTGCTGATGTTTTGTCAGCATAGTTTTGAACATTTTGGACGTTTTTTTTTGAAGTTTATGCAAATTAATTATTTCAATTATGTGAACAAATATTAATACGACTTATGCAAGTATCTGAGCATCCGGACCTATATATGCTATATGAAACCATGTATTTTCTAAGTCTGGTTGGTTTTTGCTGTTTTCTGTCTTCAAGTGAGTACATTTTACTTTATTTTACATTTTTCTCGTTCTTAGTGCCGTTTGGGATGTGGGACTTCTATATATTACCCCCCGCAAATATTTAACTGTAGTAAAAACAGACGTTTACTGGTACATGTATTTAATGGTCATGCATGCGAATGTTATTAAGCGCTAAATTGTACTGAAATGTATTGTTAAATATCGGGATATGATGTCAACGTTTCCATTGGCTGCAGGTGCGTGGTTTTAAGCAATATTCACTCGTCAGTTGTTACTAATAGTTACTAATAAGCACGGTTAACATAAGCTGTAAAGCACACTTCTTTGACTTGAACGTTTTTCTGTTCTTCATATGGGGGAGTTAATGGCATGCAGCGGAAGTAAAACAAAATCAATTCTCAATCAAAACGATTATAAAAGTACACTGCCCAGACGTAATCAATCTCATTTTAATCGAAGTAAGATTCATATAAACACACACAGAAACACAGACTATTGATTGTAAGTTTATGACCCGTAATGGAGAATGAGATTATTATGTTTACTGTTTAATAGGTTCTACTGCGTTCTCGGTTGAGTTTATATTGCACACTAGTTCTGAGTCGCAGCTTATTGACAAATCAAACCCCGATACTCTGACGTCATCTAACTTCAATGAATCTTATCTCAGTAAGTTCATTATCCATGGGTGGATGGAAAGCTACAATACCACGTGGGTTCAGGATATGAAGAATGAACTATTGCATCACGTGAGTCATTGTCATTGTCTGGCACCAACACGATTTTTTTATTACACAGCATATACTAATATTATATATCTGTCGAAATATTCATCCTTCGTATTATAATGTATATTTCACCTTTTTTGTTTAACAGGGAAACTATAATATCGTTTTGGTTGATTGGGAGGAAGGCGCTAATAATCCGCGCTACAAACTTAGTGCCGATAATACTGATAGGACCGGCGCAGAAATTTACCATTTTATCAAATTTATTCAGAATGTCTATGTTGGTTACTCGGAAAGTCGTGTCCATCTCATTGGTTTCAGTCTGGGTGCGCAAGTGTCTGGCGCAACTGGTATGCGCATGCCCACTATAGCCAGAATTACAGGTAAATACGGCACATTCATGCATATATTAACTCTGTTATCGAATACGTTTGTAATTCCGTGTGTTACAATTCGGTTTTATGAAACAACTTTGGTCAAGTTTATCCGTTTTAAAAAAAATATGCTTCAATACATTTCAAAATGTCTCATGACGCCATTGTGTCAAATATAAAGGTTCACAACACATAGACAAGTAGAAAAATCACCGATTGCGAAAAAATTACTAATTCTTTGTTCAGACTCCAGAAAATTACTTGCTAACCCTAAGACAGCTTTTTCAAGCATGTTGCAATCATCGGTTTTATGTGGGTCACCGAATTGTTGTATTTTTGGTTACTGATTCAGTAAAATTTGTATATTTTGGGTTGTCCGGCGTTTTGTACAGTTACAATCGTTTTGAAAGTTACACACTCCTCAGAGGTATGACGTCATTATTAGCTCGTACTATTTCCTCATTCCAGGACTTGATCCCGCTGGTCCAGGTTTTGATAACCATGGTGACAGTCGAAAATTAGATTCCAGCGACGCACAGTTTGTAGATATTATTCACGTTGATGGTGATGTCACTGGAGGTGTTGGATGCTGGTATCCGGTAAATATCACTTTCCCTATATATGTGCAGATTATAATTACGATCTAAATTCATTTACAAATATTCAGTATGATAAATCGGTAAATTATTATAAACTCGGTCAATGTAATACGTTGGGAATCCAACGGCAATGTCACCGCTATACCAGGTACACTACCATGTAGTACCACTACCCGTATTCCAGGTGCTACAATATGGCAAGAGTCCACACTCGATACATTTCTAAAGTTGCATTTCCACTTTATATGATCCGTAGAAAAATTTCACTGACCTTTGTAAACATCATAAGGGCTTCGGATTTTGCGCAGTTCGTTAGAAATTTTATCCAACAAAATCCTGCATTCGAATATAGAAGTACACGTACTAAATTAGGTTACAGTGACCTTGAATGATTACAACTATGAACTTTATGTTTGATTTGATGACCCAACTTTTCACCCTTCAGTGCAGGTTAGCTTCATTGCTCAAATATTTTAGGATGTGTTACCATGCCAACTGTTTGTTGCCAGTCATGGTGATGACAATATTTAGTGACAGATGTTCTGCATATAATACAAAGTGTGAATGCAACCTTACATCCAGTCTGAATTTCGACCCAGCTAAATTACTAGTGCTTTAGGGCGAACATTTGTTCTCATTCAGATAAAACCTGCTTAAAATGTGTCACTTGTAGGAGATACTATTAAAGTATTCAGACCAACACATATATAATATAAAATGACAATTATAGTAAATGTCTGCAATTGAATTTGAAGAGTCTGAAATTAGCAGTACACGTTCAAAATTGATATAAAGAGTATTTCAAATTAATAACTCATAACTTATATTTGATTCGAAGCTGATCAAACTAACATTATTGACAGAACTTATTGTATGATTTTACCAGAAAGTTTATTTACATAATCTGGAAAGAAATTATGAATTATGTGATCAATCAATTACAACGATGGAACACCTAACCTTAAATTAACCTAAAAAAGGAAATCTTGAAAATTTTCAAGCATGACTTCCCGACCCCCTTGTTAATGAATGTAGTTCTCGTAATATATAGAAATACTTTTGCAGAGTGGTCACGTGGATTTCTATCCCAATGGTGGACAATCTCAACCAGCTTGCAGGCTATTGGCTGATGACGGTGACGTTTCATTGATTGACCGTACGTATAACTATATTAACATATTTTTAGATGTTACGCTTCATGCAAAACTCAAAAACACCTATGTCAATGGATTCCAACGGATGATAACAGTACATTAGAAGAAAACAATCACAAAATATAAACTTCACAAACACAAATCTAGAACACGACATAATTATAATTGACAATTCTAGATGCTGTGAAAAATAAAGGATTTGAGCAACAAAAATGTAAAAAAAAATATCTTTCTGGATGTAAGCGCATAATATTATAATGCAATGAAAATAATTCTCAAAGTCTTCAACGAGTTACAAATACAAACAATATTTAATAACTGGCCGTCAAAAATAAAATACTTAATAATCAAATAACTTAGTATGCGCTAAAATGTTTACACAAATCAGTAGGGTGATCAAGTTTTTTTACTACATGTATAAATAAAAAGTGTGTGTTTTTTTTTAAATTGGTGACGAAATTGTGGTGTTCGTACACGCGCGCCCACAGAGAATCAAGTTGCTGAATTTATTACAAATGAGGTTGTTACTAATTTATAGTAAAAACCTACCCACTTCTTTCCGACTGAAGCTAACCTAGTCAGCCTTCGACTAGATACTCATTGACAATTTTAAAGTGTGGTAATAAACAGTTACATTGTGTTGTCAACCAGAAAACCCCTGCCCGCCCGAAAACTGTCGGATTAATAATATTATTTGTGTTATACCACTACGTTCATTTACTTCATAGTATACTTGGGCTTTGAGTAGTTATATATATGGTAGACATTAATATTATTTGTAATATTTATCATTTTCTTCACTTTACTGTTTAGCAAGTAGCTGTGATCACGGCATGGCACCGCAGTACTTTATCGAATCCATCAACACGGACTGTGAGTTTGAAGCTTACCCATGCACCCATGGTAAAAAATGTTACTCGTGCGCAAGTGGGTGTAATCGCATGGGATTTCACGCTTTCCCACATACCACTGGTATATTCTACTTGGAAACCAATTCTGAGAAGCCATACTGTAATAAGCCAGTTGTATAGATAACACTTATCCTGGACTGCGCCGTCGGGGCATTGAGTTGGGTTACAGACATTGGAAATGGATTTTTAGCTATTGTGCGTACAACGTAAAATCTAATTTTGTGTACGAGACATATCCCAAATTTATATCCTGAATGAGTTTACTTGAACGCTTTTTATAGATAAAATGTTTTTCTATATGTTTGCTTGGAAAGAAGATTCCCAAGAAAATTAATCCAAGACAGGTATTCACAGCCTAAATTGACAATTCGTATAACACACAAGGCCAAAATATGTTACGTGCCCAAGTTTGAGCTCCATGTCGCACCGCACCTACCACCTACCATGTAACCTGCTATCTCCGGCCATGTGACATAACTAGCATTTCATGTTAAACTTTAAATAAAATATTTAGAATTTAAAAGATTGTTAGGGGTATGGATAATATATATACCGTATGTACGTATAGTAAAAATTACGATTTGGGTAAAACTATAGAAATATTTTACATGTTCCTAAAATGTTCGATATAATGGTAATTTGACCACAAAATTATTGTTACTACATGTTATAATCGTATTATTGGATGATAAAACCCTGTTATGTATTAAAAAGATCAAGTACACTGTTGACTTGTTGCATTATTTTGAGAAAAAGAAATATGACCCTTCTGAACTTCACCTGTTTCCCAATTAGACCGGGAGATTTCTGCATATGCAGTAAATCGCACAATTGGGAAATTGCAAAAGCAACCAGGACTAGATTGCATGAGAGATGAAATATTTGAATGAGTGGCCGCGTCGACATTTTCCAGAGGTATCATATCATATATTCCATGTTGGTTGTTTTGGAATGAACGAAATAATCATTGTGACTGAATGGTATACCAAGCATGATATTTTCATTCTGTTAACATTAACAAAACAAATGTAGAGTTGTTGTATTTTATACGTGTTCTATGTGGACTTTGAAAAGCCTTTGACCACAGTCCCTCTATCCCCATCGTGGTTCGTAACCAGTCTTGTGATTTGTTCTTCTTCAAATGCTGAACAGGCCACGTCTCCAACTGTGCCGTGCGTTCGGGCAAACCGTTAATTATTCGTAAATGGAGTCAATTTGTGTAGTTTTCTTGATTTATTCTGCTGATATAGGTAAAATATATAATAATCTTCAACCTGGTATTTTTTATTGATTTTATATTTCATTCTTTTCGTCTGTTTTTTCCAGTTTAAAAAACTTACTAAAATATGAGCTGACTGGAGCCTTCATCCCTTGTCTATTTCGTACACTAGATACCAGCCGATACCCCCCCCCCCCCGCTCATAGGGAGTGCGTGCAATTGATCATAGTTCTTGGGCTCCCTGTGGTTTGATTTGAAGCTGATCAAATTGAAATTATTTTCATAACTTATTGTATGATTTTACCAACAAGTTTATTTATCGCGTTGCTCTTAATCGGCTAAATAAAAGACCAGTGTAGTCTATAAAACTGATTTGAAATGTTCACATTTTATCTCGCATTGCTACTAGTAACTTCTTCGCATAGTGTTTTATTGCACGTGCCAATAGCCAAGTTAACGACAGCTTCGGATTCGATCACCACATCAGATTCCATTTCCATTTTAAGGTAGAAACCTATATACTCACAATTTTTGAGAAAGTTGGTCATACATCACCTGACAATAAACAACATTTGTTTATTTTGTAAAATTGTGAAGCTATTGTCCCATGGCAGCAGGAGATATCATTATTTGTGTGTGACGTATTTTGAGAAACTTGTCCTAATAATTTTCAAAAATCTCTATTTTAGAACAATTCCATAGAACACAATATTAAAGCAAAATTTTGTTGACACTTTTTAAAACTGAGATTTTTTAAATAATGCAGGACAACAGAAAGTACCCCATCATTCACAGCATATTATTTTTGCAGTCACAAGCTTACAATTTGAGATATGGCATAATATCTCTGCCATATAAATCTATGGTAGGCGTGTTATGATACTGACAAAATGGTCACTATCCACTATACAACCATTATTCCCTCGAAAATTAGGCTGGTAACCTTACTTTGCCTGGGAGTACAATTTATTGCATAATCAATACATCCTGGGTATTTATGAGTACTATCTTTAAGCTTGTCTCTTTCTGCCTCCTCCCTGGCACATTGTTGTTTTGCATGGTACATAGATAAGATAGCAATAATCAAACTAACCACGGTAATGGGTTTCTTCGTCAGTTGTTATCATTGTTGTATCCCGATCATGGGTCCAGATATGCCGTACTTATTTTATTGATCGACATTAGTAAGAATAACGCTTTGTGTGTTGAACGATCGTTTGTTAGCTATTCGATGGTTCTTGCTTTCCCTGTTATCACGCAATAGTCAAATATTATTCTCTAAGTATCATGGTTGTACAAATAAATCACCTGTCCTGATGCATATGTGCAAACCCCAAGCTTGTAAATAATAGTACGCATATGTTTAATGATCAAATTAAAGCGGGAGGGTCGTCGCCTGCGCACGCGCGGGAATTGAGTCCCAAGCGACGATAACAACACACACAATAAAATCGCGAATGCTCATGGGTAGACGCTTGTTTGTAAACAATGACTTGGCTGATCCCCGCCTCTACGCGCAAGCCCAGCCGGGTCACGTGATCTGACGCACAGTTCAGCGAAAACAATGACACGCTATGGCCATCTGACGCATGCGCAGGTGACGACTCCCCGGCGGCGTAGGTTACCACCCAGCCGGTGCAGTGTCCTGAGCGTCGTGTGTTGCTTTACCTTACAGATAAGGCCACTGTGGTTAGTAGTAGGTTAGTTAGTTAGTGCGCGATGTAGTAAAACATACAGTGGCGTATGTTATAGAACATAACAAGCTCAAAAACTATGAGTTTGTAATTCACGTAAATACATAAAATTGAAATACTGCCATAGTTGTGGAAAGAGGAAATATGATAAAAATATTAGGCTATTCTGACAAGTGGTGTTTGTATCTCATAAACAACCAGATGTATTTTTACTTGGCATATTCATCGCAGTATGTTATTGTTATTATCTGTATCGTTGTATATGTATCTTCTCAATGTATTTAGACTGACGAAAGACTCTTTGTTCTAATGTTTTTTTGTGATTTATTTATAATCAAATGCGTTTTCGAATTGGTAAAGGCATTTCAAGCGAAGGCCAGATCCTTGCTTGGAATGTACTCGGCATTTCGCAATCGCATTACGGCATTTTAAAAAGTTTTTAAAAAAGTAGGCCAGGGAACTATACAAATTATAATTGTATTTGAACAATACAATTATCAATTGTAGCAAATAATGAGATAGGAGTATGTATCCCCATTTTCAAGGTATAATGTCCCAGCTTGCCTCACTGCTTCCTGTTATTATTGCTTACTCTTCGTAAAGAGAAAGGTAAAGAGAGGAATGATCGGATAATAATATCTTTATTACATCTTTAGCCGAAATACAATTTTTTCAAATGATTAATAGCAATATGTATATAAATGAATAGAACAGATAGAAGAGAATGATCATTTTAAAAACGAAATAATTAATGAAATCACACAATAGCTTAATTGTATTTTATCAACACGTTTCTTCAAATACATGAATTACTGAAGATTAGTGATGGGTTTCTTTGCAAATATTGGAAAGGTCCTCCGATTGGTGGATTTGATGTTTTGGACATACTATATTTCAGGCAATGATCAGTGATACGAAACCGTGCGAACGAACGATGGTAAATCCCCTTCTACAAATAGCATATGACAGTCTCTTACTGTGTTATTATACAGTTTGCAGGCAGCGCATATTATTTCTTGTCACCACAGCATCGTCGCCATGCCAGCTTGGACATCTTCAATTAATCAGTTTAACTCAGCATTATTCAAGATCGCAGACCACTTTGGCGAAGATGAAATCACCAAGATTAAACATCTCCTCGATGATAAACTTCCGAAATCGTCAGAGAAATGTACGGATGCTTTTGAAATACTGAAGTGTTTAGTAAGACACGGACATATCTCTGAAGATAACCCAAGTTTGCTGTTGGAATTATGTAAACACCTCAATCGTCCTCCATTAGAGGTTATAATCCGCGAAAAATTTAGTAAGTTGTCAAAATTGGGCAACAAGAAGCACCCATGCATTAAAAACAACAACAACAACAACAACAACAACAACGACACGGATAAGACAGATATTTGATTTTGTTTCACTATCCTAAGTAACTATTATTTGTTCACCAGTGAGTTATCACATAATGTTGTGGGATTGTGCTGTACTTTCAAATGAAATAATTACTTCCTTGTTAAAATACTGAACAATATTGAAGGGAATGCCCTTGTTGGACTGAGAGTATGGCTTATTTCTGGATTTAGATTTACAACACAAAACTGAAAATATACGCCCTACTTTGGGAGTCTTTGCCAAATTGTATGTTTGTTTGTGGGCGTTTTCAACACGGATGTTTGAATCCCTTACTTAGTCGTTTTAGTGAATATGTAGTAAAATGTGCTATCGTCACGCGAGTGACAATAGTGTTTCACAATCTGTTGCACAAATGACTCGATGTTCGTACTATGACACGAAATGGATGGGAGTATTTTATTAACTTGAACTGCAATTTATTAACAAACTAAACTTAAAGCAGTAAAATCTGGTTATGACAAAGTGTCGGTATCATATATATATTTATAAATTTAAAAGAATATTGTGCGTCCATACCTCTTTTAAAATTTTAAAGGGCAAAGATCTGTTCCCGATTCATATAGTGTTTGCAAAACATGCTTTTTAGCAAAAGGTGTTGTTTTTAGTTTTGATTAGTTTTTTTTTTGTTATAATACTTGTATTATCTCACAGTCACCTGGCGTACAAGTTATAAATGCAAATACCGTATTCAAGATGGCTGCCACATAAAGCAAATATCGGTAGATTTATCTCATTTATTTGATTATCACTTGTACGCTAAATGATTGTGCATTATTCATATACGATTTTTATTTTCTCTTTGCGTTTAGCATTTTATTTGATCTTATTATTATTGTTTTTTTATTTTGTTAAATTATTTTAATTTTATTTTATTTTCAAATTTGTCTTTTATTACATAAATACATACATGTACTAGGTGAGGTTCGAATCAAAGTCGAATATGATATCAAGGCTTTACGACGTTCACAGAAAATTGGTTCATGGGAAGAGGGCATGCACATCGTTGAACATGGTTTTGGATCAGAGCATAAAAATGCCCAGACATCTAAAACTGGATTCAAGGGAGATGTTCATCAAGCAAAGTACACTGGTATGGTAGAGCTTAATGAAGAAATGAAAAGTTACTCATCTGAAGGATACTATACATTAGTCACAGTCGCACCCTTGTTAGGCAGTCCAAACAAAGTACAAGGTATGTGTTTATGTACTTGCCAAGAAGTATTCCTATCATTTAAAACGTTATGTTATTCTTCCAACTTGACAGGGGTATAATAATATTCGCAGTTACCGTACTGTACTCGAGGCTTGCCGCACTCTGTAATGTACACAATGCGTCGCACTCCTGGTCGATATCTCCTGTTACCTTCATCATTAAGTCTGCTAAAACAATACAAACGTAGTGATTGTTTCTCCTTCAACAGTCTGATGTATAAATAATCATATAGGAACAGTGAATTGTTAAATAATAAAACAAAATTATTCAAATATAATTCACTTAAACAATGGAAATCATGATTTATCTTCTTAGTGTCATTCGAAAATTTGCCCAAATCAAACACTTGACAGGTTTAGACGAGGAAAGCTTTGAGAACTCACAACAAAAAGTTAAATCACGACTTTTAAATTGTAAATCATATCGTCATGTGAACTATCGAGTAGATACTTTTGTTTATCAGTTGCACCATATTCTGTAATATTTTAGGTTACTGTGTTTGTAAAAAATGTGGGGATGTGGTGAGAAAAATAGGTGGTAAGGCACGTGATGATAAAACGCAGTTAATATATGATCTGGGCAAGGAACGTGTGCTTATGAATACTAAAACAGGTTAGTGTCTACAAATATTTCCGAATTACGTGGATTTCTGGATGAGGTTGTCAAAGCAGGATTTGTGTCTATAATAATGGTTTGCTCATATGTCAACTATCTTTCTTTGCTTTAGCATACGAATATAAAGTGAAGAAAATACCAAAAGTTGATGCAAGTGATTTGGAGAAGGTAAATATTCATGTTGATTAGACCTATGTGAAATTATACATACGGTCTTCATTCTAAAAAATAGGAAATGTGATCTAAACAATGGCATTTGTTTTTGTGAATTACGCACTTCAAAATTATTTACTGTCATCATATTACTTGTTGCAGAAGCGTCCTAAAACTTGTTGGTATTCAGAATTTAAATGGAAGAGGTATCACTGTCCAAACTGTAAGGAGCCACTGGGATGGTAAGTAATAGAATAATTGTAATAATTAATAAAAGAATTTAATCTTACATTCGATATAATGTGTTCATATATTATGATATTTCACAGGAAATAATATTGTGATCACTTATTTTATTAATTTTCCATCAGGGAAGACACACCTTGCAATGGCATTTTGCAGATAAGAAGACCAGTTATCTAACAACCATGATCAGTAGTTGGAATGTTGGTTTACTTTACAAATATTTCCTGATCTTGCAAAACATTCATGTACTAGTCAGTGACTGATACACAATTGTGCTGTTTGTTATTTCAGCTGCCATTTCACGAATTCGATGACATCACCAGAAATCAAAACTACACGTTTTCACACTTTTATGGATTTGTAATTACATTTTGAGTCAAAACACCAAATATAAGACTCGTGTGTTTTTCGTCTGCAAGTAATAGTCTTTATTTACCTTAGATTCAGGCTAACTGCTATCACCTGGAATTATTACAATTGTTATAATGAATGGAATTCAATATCTAAAAGCAGCATATGTAACTATTTATTTTCCTTTAATTTGGTAATCTTACTTTGACCTGTATTTTAGTTTAAAATACATTTTTATAATTTTGTCTGTACCTCATCTTCTACAATAGTTTTGACATTCTCTCCATAGACAAAATTACCATGAAGTCAAATTAGTTGCTAGGTATGTCTATGATAATCAACAAGATTATGTTACGTTTATTTGGATTCAATGTTCATATCGACATTGTCCACTTAGTATAAAATGTTCTTTCAACATTTTTGTAACTGTTTATTATAAAACATATAACCTTCAATAATTGCTTTGACACTTTGAACTTGATCTTGAACAAATCAATTGTGTTCTCTTAATGAAACACACTTGTATATCTAAGGAAACAAATTATTGCTGGTTCAGAGATGTACAGAGGCGAGGTGATGGAGCTTTTTTCTTCCATTTTCACAATACTTTGAGAGAAACCAAAAAAAGAAATTGTTTTGAACTGACCACAATGAAATCCATATTTTATAACTTTTATACTAGTTATTTCTGCTGGCAATGTAATTATTGCATGTCTTAAATTAACAACTATTGTGTATATTGTTCAAGTTCACTTTACCAGAATATCAAGTCAATGTCAACTATATTTGAAATGTCAATGAGATTAAATTTCTAGTTAAGGTTTTATGCATGTATGCGCAAAATTGCCCTGAATAAACTAAATTAAAGGTGGATGTTACTGACTCACAAAATATAAGTGCATCTATAACAGCAACACTTTCTATGTGTTTACTTGAATAACAGTAAATAAACAATACACTTCAACCAAACTTCATTATATATTATTTTTCATCAACTTTATTTCATTTTAAAACCAAATTAGAAAAAACTTTCTACACGGTTGGAATAAAGTTGCTATCTACCTATCTATCATTATCACTCTATTTGAGAACCAGACTTTCAATGTATTAGGATTTAGGCGTATATTGTAAACAAGTCATTGACAAGATACAGTCCCTAAAACATCGAACAAAACTGTTTTGAGTCATTTTGAATTAGAACTTGAAATAAATACATATCAATATGCGCGTTATGTATAATATATGCGTAAATTTTGGTTTCAATCTGTCAAGGCATGACAGAGACCTGCTGAAAGCCTCCATGAGTGGGATAAAAAAATAGCATCAGCAGGCAATGTGTGGTCTCCAGTCAGATTTTATTTAATCTGATCTGAAAAAACAAAATGACATGCATCAATGTCTCATTATGTTTAATGCATATACATGGTTTGAACGATGTAAGTGCATTGAGGACAGAGAGTTCTAAAAAGGTAGAAATGCTTGATTTTGATGCATTTTAAAACGGTAAAATAGTCACTTCAATTGGATGGTCTTACCAATGCATGTGCATATGCATACCGCATTGTACTCGGCCCAGGCATGTCTGAGATACAGGTAGATGCATCAGTAAACCATTACCGTATATATGTGATACAGTATTTACATGTACATACAAAATTTGAATGAAATCAGCCTGAGCACTCCAGATGTTCTGAAACATTGTATTGTTCTATTACCAAGTAAAAATGATGTAGATTATATCCAAAAACAAAGTGAAGAGCATACATCTCTCATCATATCTACCAGGCGGTATCACCTTTTACAAACTCTTTATCAGTTCAGGCAAATGACAACAAACACAAAACAGCTTTATGCAGTATTCAACTTTTAGGAATTAAGAAAAAACAAGAATTATTATAACCTTTTGAAAAATATGTAATTTATTATCTGTACAAGCTAATGTAAACAAACAAATCTTGGGAGTCAACTGCAAAAAAAGTAATCACTCTGCTGAAAGTAAATGTACATTTTATATAAATTGTGAGAAAATAAATTTTAAAGTAACAAGCCACAATATGTCAGTATATCTTTGACAAGGCTATAAAAGTGGTCGATTTTATATACACAAATATTTAACAAAATGATAAATTGTTGATATATAGACAATAATAATAACTGTTCAAATATGGTAATGTATGACACAAGTGTACAAACTGTCAAACTGGGACTACTATAAATGTCACTCAGCTGATACAATAGTGAACCACAACATTGAACAATTGTTTACTGCACAGCAATGTCCCATACAAAATACCCTAATGTTTCTATCCTTAATAATATTTTGCATGCTGCTTGTGGTTTCTAATAATTAGTCTGATGGCATTGCATAATGACAAACAATATTCAATTGATAGGAATGTAGCATTCAGCAGTACAATAATACAACAATACAATTTCAGTAATCACACAACAGAAAACAGTTATATATTTTTTCCACAATGTGAGATTTTTAGGCACAATAATGTATTGCTGTATTAACATAATGTCAGTTATACCCAGGATTCCCAGTTAGGGTAAATGTGATCATGTGTTAAAAGCAATCAACAGAGAAGTCAAAGGACGGAATAAAAATCCATACAGTATTCCCAATAAGCACTGTAGGGAAGTAGTAGACTTTCCGGGAGATGAGAAAGTTTATGTTATACAAGTCACATCTTATTTGTATTTTTAAACCACATAAAGATGTATTATATTCCTATTACATCACACATGTAAAGCCCCATAACTGCAATTACAAGTGGATGATATGAACCTTCTGTGAATTTCCCAACTGCTAATAAGTGCACTACAGGACTTCACATGTTTGGTGGCAAATATATAAAAAACTACAACAGTATGAATTTGATAATAAATAGAAGATGCCTAACATAGGAGAGGTTAGTTGAATTGTACATGAATATGGCATGCATCTCCTGCAAAGTCTACTATCACCTTAAATTTAAATGTTCCCTGACATAATTTCAGCACTTAGGGGGAAAGGGGGGGGGGGGGTTCTCAACAAAGGTTTAAGCACACCTCTTGAGGTTTAATCAAATCTTACAACACAAACCTATCTTCCCCATCATCATTTCTTATCACTGTACCAGACTCTTCTTGGTTCTGTTCTTTGAAATAACACTGTTTCTTGCACTCCATCAGCATTTCAAAATCTTTCCACATTTTCATCTGTCTCATACTGGGTCCATGACTTTCACGCACAGCCTTCTGTTTCTCTCGTAACCCCTGTGAATTACAAAGTGTGATAAATTAACATGCATATCATTTTGACAAACTCCTTGATAGCTCATCTTATGTAGGGTCTTTAACTCACAAGAATATGAATTGAGAGATCACAAGTTTTTTATTTATATATGTTCACAAAATTTACAGTAATATTTATTGTAAACATTGGAAGATTTATTCCAGGTTACAAAAAATGTATAAGAAAGTTGGAGATAATAGATACCAATGTAGTATTTTGGAATGGTGAGAAGTATCCGCAGAGGGAGTAAGTTCATTACATAAGATCACAACTCTAATACTAAATCACAATCATACCTTTCCAAGATTTTCTTGTTCTTGTATTTTCCTTGTATATTGTTCTCTGAATGCTTTTTTCTTCTCTAATGGATCAGATGATACATATGCCTTCATTTCGTCAGCTACTCTAGTCTGTTGAATCTCATTCATTTTAATCATACAGTTTAGGTAATGATACCGACTCTCTTCTTGAGAACATTCTTCACGATAAACTTTTACTTCCTGTCAATAATAAATACACTATCTTCATAAAGTTTTATGCAGCACATATATTAATATATATTTTGTATTTGCTCTATTAAAAAGGCACCCTTCCAGTAGACCATTAACATTAAGACAAAAGATTCCATTAATTGTATAAAATATGACTTATTTAGTTATCCACTAATTCAACAAAAGTCAATGTTTTAATAAGCATGGTATCCATGACCCACTCTATCATAATTTATGACGACTAGTAGTAAGATGAAAAATGTTAATTAGCTGTACTTTATTGAAAAGGTACAATATATATGATAGCTATAGATGGCAAGAAAATAACCCCTTTGGAAACCCCTTTCCTAGCTTATCGATACATGAGACACAATGTTATTTACCTGTTCCAGTTTGGATCTATTGCTCTCTAACCCTGCAGCCATGCTATCATAGGCAGCTTTCTTCTCATCATACACCTGTTGTAACTCTTGACATCGCTGTCGTAATGGACGCAACTCTTTTATAACAGGTGCTAGATCAGTCTTCTTTGCTGCTATGGTTTGGGTTAGTTTTCTCACCTACATATACAAACAATATACATATTATAATAAAGACAGTTATCTTTCACTCTTTAATAGATAGGGAACCACACAAATTGTACTCTGCCCATTATGGGTGCTATGTACAGTCAATCCTCCTGTCTGGTTCATGCTGCAAATGACTGCCAAGGTTTTGTTGAAAGCGAGAAAGACACACAACTTATACAGTCTATTGGAGATGCACTATATTGACTACAAGAATTCTACACATTCACAGCCCTAACCAGAATCACAGTCATAACATGTCGTCTCAGATTTATCAAGCAATATAGCAACTAGTATGATTATTAATACCGTACTTCCCCGAGTATAAGCCCCTCCCCGAGTATAAGCCCACCCCTCTGTTTTTAGACATTTAACAAGTTGAGGGCATCCCCGAGTATAGGCCAAGGGGGTTCTTACCGGGAGTCAACGACATTTATTAAAATATGCAAGTAAAAAGTGTATTTCGTTGCATAATAATCGTTATTGGTACGGTAGTTTGGTTCCTGCTTTTACGAGAAAACTCAGATTAATTTCAAAGTGCATGGCCGGCGAATGTACGGAACATGGTTCGCACCTTTTCTATCCTGTTGTTTACTCACGATGAATCCCGATGTTGCAATACTGAAGTAATTCATATTCCTTTTGAGTAGTGGTTTTAGAAACGCCAAAAATGGTCATTGAATAATAATAATCGTGTCCATTGAGACCTTTGTGAATGGGATGTAAACGAGCAAACTATTCTTCGACTTACTTGTTGGCAACTGTGAAACATTTAAATACTCCCTTCACCCTCAGTTTACTTTTCAAAAATTGCGAATCAACAGCTTTAGGGAAAAAAATGACTTTTTTTTTTGAAATCAGATCGCATTTTAACATCGCGATAATTCACTTCCGCACTGCATTGAATACTTTGTTAATAATCGCAAAACTTCATCTGTATGACACAGCATTTTGATTGGTTAACGAAAGACATGACCTGTTAGGTCAAAGGAAGTTGTTTAGGTCAAATCATGATGAAAAACACCATGGCGGGAATTGCTTTTCATCGAGAGTTTGCGAGCGACCGAAAACATTCCACAACGAAAATAATGATAAAGATCTTGCCTTCAACAGTTTTCCCACAGACCCTACCCATTTTTGCACCGAAAATTCAGACGGTATGTAAACCGTATTGTAATAAAATGTGTGTATTTTTATGAACATATTTGTTTCTTCATTGTAAAAAGTGTCGTGGAAATCAAAAAGACGTAATATTTCTCAGAGACCGGGCTGTGAACGAAAAATGTAATTTGGATGATTTTTTGAGGTTGGGAAGAGGGTTACAATTTTAAACCCCCTAAAAATTTTCTTTTCTGAGGTGGTCCTCGAGTATAAGCCCACCCCCTAATTTTCCCGATTTTACATGTTCAGGCACCTGGGCTTATACTCGGAGAAGTACGGTATATGTAAAATCAACACACTTACCATTTCTGACATGTCTTCAAGTGTTTTTCCTTTCATTTCATCCAATTCGCTCTTTATGGCTGACACTTTCTCAAGTTCTTCTTGGGTATCATGGTAACCTGCAACACCCTTTCTGTTTTCAAGATGGGACTATAAGAATGTAAATAAAGAGAAACAATAATTTTAAATATGCTCACAAGTAACAACTGTTTCAGGGAGCTACTCATCTTGTGACTTTAGTTTGCTCCATTTGTTTGCTCCATTTTTTTTGTTTTTGATAAATTGACTTTCCATTCCGGCAAGAACCTTGACAATGACTAAGGACATAGCTAGACAATCAGCACAAAATCATTGATCTCACGCAAAGTAATAACCAGTAATAATTCCTTACCAGTGCATTTGAGATATGTGTATCTCTTTGTTTAAGAATCTCTTCTGTTCTTGACAATACACCATACTCAGCACGGAGCTCTGCAAGTTCTTGTCTCTTCTTCTTATAGACAGTGCTTTTGCCTCTCAATTTGTTGACATAACGTTTGAACTGCAAATATCAGATAATTGAAAGTGTTTGGTGTAATGTAACATAAATACAACATCAATCCCAAGAGAAACCCATGCAGTGCATGTGATTTCTATATATGCTAGTTCTGTGAAAATTAACCCTCCAACAAAAGGATATTTAATTTTACTATGTTATTTGTCTGTAGTAGGCATACACATGATGGCTTTGTCATAAATGAGAGATTATGGTACATGTTGTGTTGTACATTAACATTAGTATATGCCCTTCTATTACAATATTCTGGATTTGGATTTGTGCTCTGCCCTATAAAACTATGTTACTAATAACTTAACCACATGTCATAAAGTGAGTGTTCTTTTCATAATCCTCATAAAGTATTGTCAAATGCACACTTACATCATCTCCTTTGAGGACTTCTTCCCCTTGTATGCTTTTAGCCTGTTCTCTTTTCTCTCTGACTTCCTGCAAACAACTCTGCAAAGTCTCTTTGTTTTCAGACAGACTCTCAGCAGCTGCTTCCTTCTTTCTGGCAATAATTGATGCTTGTTGTCGAAATAGTGATAGTTTATCATCTATTGGGTCATTTCTCATCATTCTTTTCTCAATCAGTTGGTTGATTTCAGCATTCATGGAACGAATCTATGAAACACAAAAAATATGTGTTTATATCATTTCTGTTGTGGGTATCCTTAATTAAAGTTATCTAAGTAAGCTACAACAGCCATAAATCAATTCGAATATAACTATTATAAAATGCCCAGATTCAACATTAATAATTAATCAATCAGTTTTCATGATAAACCCATCATCACTATTAACATAGGATTCCATTCACCTTTCTGTCAAGTTCATCTAAATCTGACTGTCCCATGGCAGGTTCTGATACAACCCTCTGTAAATCCTGCACAGTCTTACGCTTAGCTTCAATTTCTCTAGGTAACTTTTCTTGACAAAGATATGTATTGACTTTGTTTTCTTCTTCCAATTTCTTGACAAGACCTAGAAAGTATGTAACCTCAGTCACAACACTGTACATATACAATAGTAACAAGCAACAATATACCCTTTTTAGACATTAGAGAATATAACTATGACAGCATTGGCTTAGCTAATCCATTGAAATCAGTCTATTTTCCTTACTGCATTGAAATTTACTGTTTTGCACCTATTTTTAAATGCACTGGTATATTTTGTTCAAGCAGGTAAGGAAAACTATACAATAGGTAGGTTGTAGTAATGACTGAAATAATTTGATGTGCCCAGAAGAATAGAACCATACTCAGAATAAAAAAGCCCTCCCAATGTAAAAACTGCATTTGATGATAAAAGATAGCTGACAAAAACAGATAGTAAGAAAATATTATCTATCAGTCAATAATTTGATCACAGTTGCTATAATGATCACACTTGTTCTCTAGAATGCACTGATGTCTTCAATTAGATAATACCATGTACATGTATGCATACTATAGAATTGTTACCTTCTGCACTAGCTCCTGCAGTGGTTTGCTTCAGATCCTTTAACTGGTGAACTGTACGTTGATATCTTTGTTCCGCATGAAGCAACTGTAGAAGAAAATAAAAATTTACATTTCATTTTTTATTTTGTGAAATTTTTCAAAAAAATCTTTTTGAGATACCACTTAAACTGACATAACTAGATTTGGGTAATTATTCAGATTTCATATACAATCCCTTTTGTTTAAAATGGGACACACTGTATACCAGACACATCCTTTCTGTTTGAGGGCACACTACACACCAGATACAGCAAGGACTAAAGTGGCATGGCATTGTTTCAATAAAATTTGTCTTCACAGGTTACCATGCTAACTAAAACTAATCAAAACCCAAATAAGAAGCTATCAACAATGATATTAAATATAGACAAACCTCAATTAGCCAAACCTACTGGGACTGGGCTCAGTTTGTCACAATCCTTCTAAAATTGACATTACACATCAATGATATTATCCATAAAATTACTTTACCTGATTCTTCTGGTCTAACTTCTGCTGTGCAACTGTTGTTTCTCTCTCAGTTTCTTTCCTGAAATTCCTGGCTATTTCTAGCATTCGTTCATGGTTTGGTACAGTCTCCACCTATAATGCAATACAGTACTGATTAGCTTAATTTCTCATTGAGTGTATGATTATGTGCATGTGGCACATGACATTAGTAGAGGCTGAGTAATTATATATGTGAAGCAAAGCTTAAAGACAAAATTAACACATTGTAGGTGTAGAGGGACTTTATTAATTTGATTCCAGGAAGCTATCTAAGGTTAAAACAATTCCAAAACATTTTAACCAAATTAATAGTCGCACCCATATCCTAAAAAAGGTAAATCTTCTATTTCCTATTTGCAACACCAGGCATCAAACTGTACGATTCTATTTCTATAACACAATATATGTTAAACATAGTTAAATATAAACATAGATACCTTTTTCTTTAGCCTATCTATCCTTTTCAGAAGTTGCTCCTTTTCTTCTTCCATTTGACTGATATCTTTTCTGATCTCTGCCGTAGAGAATGTGGAAGTTCGTAGTTTATCAGCATCCTTGTGCAGTATTGTGAAGGAATCCACTAACTCAATATACTGTGGGCAGAAACATATTGAAAATCATACTAGTTACAAATTGACAGTGGGGTTCATTCAGGAGTATATTCTATGGTACAACCAATGTTTAGAATGACATTTACACAGGTGTGTAGTACATTGTAATAAAGATTGTGAGAATAATTATAAAATTATAATGAGTATAAATTCATATTAATACATATTTGCTTGGATCTATTATGTAATATTTTTCCACATTACACTCCCCGAGTGACAAATCTGATTGGTCCTTGCACACAATTTGAAATTGTGAAATCACCAACATGTCAATTTTTAAAATAGCAAAACATAACTCATTTAATGAATAGAAAAATTATTTTTGTAAAAACTCTTTAAATCATGAACAATTTGAATGGTATGGTAATGAATTTCAGAGCAAAGTATGTTTAAATGTTAATTACTACATTTTTTAATTGAGACCATAAACATACACAGACCAAGTTAATCCACAGACTTCTGTCCATGGTAGGTAGCCATTTCAAATTTATGTATGTTATCTCAGTAAACACATGGTGTGCATGTACATACAAGTAACTGCATCACTAGCAGGTGAAATGAATTCTGGGTAACAATGGTGTCACTGGACGAGGAAGACTGATTAGCGAATGTGCACTTGCAAAAAGTTAGAAGTAGGAAATAAAGAAAGAATTTTGTGTAAAATCACAAGTTCCAGAAGCTCTTTTAGAGTTCTCTGGAACTAATGAAAGTATAAATAAAAACCTTTAAACCTTTAGTGAAGGAAACTGGTGTTACCTGTTCATGTATCTCTTGTACAATGGGATCTGACATGAACTCATCTGGTACTTGAACTCTAACTAAATACTTTGATAAATAGGCACGCTTCTTCAATTCAGGTATTCTTTGTAATGTCCATGCTAACACAGGATGAAGTACTAACTTATCACCAGTAACCAATGCCAATCGAAATTGACTCCTATAATTTAAAATGAGATACAGAGTAGATGTTATAACAAATGGAATATACAACAATGACAGCAGTGAAAAGATATGTAAATGTATTATTTACTGTATAGTTATTATGGTTTTAAATTGGTGACAAATAACAAAATAAAAGAATAACTACTATGCCAATACCATGCAGGTAGGGCAGTCATCTAGTACTTACAACCAGTCAAGTTATAGCGTAAAATAAATTAATACAAAGGGGGCACTTCTCAATTAAGAAAATATTTATATTTGAGTAAAATTTAACCTACACCCTCAAGTAGACTACTCTACTTGCAGGCAGTATTGAGTTAAAAACTTACGGATCTTCCTTTGGCTGATACTTTAACACTGAAAGGACACCCATCATTCGTACAGCAGTTTGTTCAGGTTCTTCTTCTCGTATATCCATCTTGTGCTGTATTGGATAAACAATGATATTGTCATTGGCTGCAGTAGGTGGAGAAATACTGGTAAATACATAACTTATGCACTCAAATTTCAGTGATTTTTTATGTTTGCCACTGACTATATCATTAAGTTCAATCGTAAATGGTACCAATCTCTACAGATGAACAAGTTCAATTTTAGTCATCTCATTCAACTTGTGGCTCGTCAATAGTCCACACAGTAGTTATTTTACAACACAAATCACTTCCATACATGAATTTGGACTGGATACATGTATATATATTCTTTGTTTATGCTATACATACCTGTGGGTTAATTTCAGAAAAAATGTCATTTAGAATTTGTAGCAGCTGAATTCCTTCCAATGCATCAAAACTAATTAAATTATAGTTCTTTTTAAAAGGTTCCTTGTTAAGTTCACTAACAATATATTTCAGTTGTTCACTCATTTTGACAGATTTCTAGGCTCAATCACGTCTAGGGGGAAAAAAAGAAAAAAGACAAGATCAGTTGACATAAATGATAAATGACAAAACTAAATCTATCATGATCACAATCAGTATTGTTTCTAGGCGTTATGCCATACTAGTGCAATTCTCTGAGAGAACATGACAGGGTCGAACATAGACAACTCATGAACATTTCAATTTGGTTCATGGCTCAAGTTACTTTTATACTTTTCCAACAAAATAAAAAACAACTACTTCAAGCAAGGCTCACTGAAAAAAACAGAAAATGTTTGTCAGTTTGTTTCAATCTGTTTCTTTTGTTTTATATTTTAACAATTTTTCTTTCATTTTTTTTCTAAAATAGAGATCAAACTTGAAATAAGAAGCCAGAAGTGTCCATTTTTAACTGACGCAGAACTGAAATGAATGTTTTTTTTTTTACATTTCAGTTGTGAGCATTTCAATCAGTCCATACTACACATGTAGTGGAGAAATCATACACCATCTACATGTGAAATCCGACCATGGCTAAAGACTACATTTGTAATCCAGACCCAAAAGGCTTATGAATCACGACTGAGCAACGTGGGTCATATCACATGTTTATTTACACAAAATTTAAATGCATTTCAATGTTTGCATCTGTAATGAACATCTCCCTTTAATGTATAATATTACAGTTGATTATTAATTCTAGACAAATGTGGTGTAGTATAAAGTTATGAATATTAAAATTATAATCAAGTTTTGTCACAGGGATATCTCCAATATAAGAACAGTTTCTATACAGTAGCAAACAGAACATTTATTCATATATAATAAAAGTTGTACTGCCTGCATGAGCAAGTGTATGTGACAATGTCATGGCAAATAATGAATGACTTGCTAACTACATGTACTAATAGCAGTTCTGTGGTTATGTCAACTCTAAGTCCTCGGCAGAATATCGTTTACACTGCCGTTACGATTGACGACGTACGCCAGGCAAAAGAATTACATAAGCAAAAAATTATCAAATAAATAATACAAAGATAGCACAGTTTCAATACTGAATACGACAAATAACTAAAAAAACATTTACCTAATAACAAAAATACAGCACACAGCTTCGGTTTTCACCTAGGTGTTGAAGAATTTCAGTACCCGGATGTATTATAAACGAATAATCTAGGGCTACTCGTTAAATGCAAGAAAGTTGTCAATGCATTTTGTTAATGCGCCCAGTCAAACTGGACTATATATTTTATTCACAGTAATATTTGTAATTTGAAAAAATAATTTTAAACTTATAGTCACTATGTAGTATTCTGTTTACTCACAATATTAGCGATAGCCCATAAACGCAGCCATAATGCAATATGACGGTGCGTAGAGAGGCCTTCTCTTTCTAATGTACGTGTACTTCCGGTACAAGATGTCTGCCAACAAGAAAAACGGTGTGTTGAGTAAGGTAAAACAGTTTTGTTGACTATTGTGTATAAGCATGGTGCCACTTAACGGATGTGGCCCGTTTCCGAATTTTAATTGGTATGATAAATCCGATTCGAAAAAGAGATTTGAATCCTGCCGCGCATAAACTAATTGTAGCAGCTGGCGCTCATAGTCTTTCGGGTCATGTCATTGAAATCGGACAACGTGTGTATAAATGCTTTTGCTGATACTTGGTATATATATCATACGCAGTTCACGAATAGAGTGTTGATATTATTTATTACAACTAGTCTGAATTAGTCATAACTATGCCATTGTCGCATAAAACGAAGAGTGTTCGACCAATATTAGTAGGTTTTTTCTTGTATAAAAATTAATTCTGATGATTTTTCAATAACTGATAAAATATTAACTGTGCCATATTGTACACAGAAATCTTGAAAAAAACCTGTCGTTTATATTTAACGACGTACCTTTCTTTTTTTCACAGTGGTCATTAGATGGCAAACCCGTGAAAATAGATAAATGGGATGGATCTGCAGTGAAAAATGCCCTTGATGATGCAGCCAAGAAGGTATGGTATATAATGCATGTCGGCCATACCCGGATGCGGTTCCACAGAAATGATGAGTGAACTTCCAGGGCTCACAATTGTAGCAGTACATTACTGTAAATTAATTCAGTGATTCTGACATCAATTCTAAATTTATGCTACACTAATTTTTTAGCTGTCATTAAAAAGACAAACTAAAAATGTTCTCAACCCAAGACACAAATTGGACAACTCGCCCTAGACACCCTGAATATGTCTGTCCAATCAACACCTCGATCTGACCAGATCTCAAATATGTTGGCATAAAAATGATAGTGACGCTCTTGTTGAGTTAATATTTTCAGGATCTTATAAATCATCCAGACTACATTGTATAAATGAAGGAATCAACATCTGTTGATTCAAAACTTCAAATTGATTCATTAAGGTAGCGATACTATTATTTGCATGCTTGTTTTCATCTTCTAATTGTGACTACAAATAGACCCAGGAAAGTATATATTTTTAGAATCGCCAGACTTCGACCTTTTCAAAGGCGTGTTTGCCATGTCTGTATCTGCATTCTACGCTGCGTTACTTAATCAAAGGTGAAAAATTACTTTTTGATAAGAAGTTTTTTTTTTTTTCACTTTTCCTAGATGTTCAATAGTCTGGTAAATTGAATGTGTCTGATCAGTTTTATTCAAGCAATGCGTTTTGAAAAGTAGTGTCCTGAATTTTAATTTCTGTTTTAGTCGCATTGCCCCCAACTCAAACCACAACACATTGGTAAATAATCCATGAAATAGTTTGTCTAGTCACATTCAAGTTGCTCTCATTCTAACCTTAGAGCTGTGAAAATTTGGTGTTAATCCGACAACAATAAGTATACGTTATTTTTTGTTAAAGACCTAGTATTTTGAAAAACATAAACTCCTAGAAAACGTTGATGAAGTCACAGCAAAGATTTTCAAGCATGTTTATCAGCACAAGCGATTTGTTTTCACATCAAGGTCTGTTTTAAGATGTTGTAGGGACATCCAAATGTATAAGGCTATTGGAAACCAAAAAATAAAGGAATGGGGTAGCTATAATTGGATAAATTCGGCATATGAAAACACCAAAATCAATGATTTTTTTCAGTGTCTGTGTGACCTTGTGTCTGACACATTCATATGCAAATGACTAATCTGTGAAATAAACAGGGGCGGAGACAAACCACTCAAATGTTTGGAAACACTCATTGTGTGTCAGATAGCTACTGATAACACATCCTAACATTGCTTTGTCTTGAGTTTATCTT